TGACAAACTGAGACAATACCTGTAATCACAGCATCTAAAGTAGTAGCATCTGGTCTGGCAGGGAGGGCATAGAAATATGCCTGGCCACCCCCTGATATGCCTCCCCCTCTAGGGCGACCCCTAGCTGACTGACCTCTACCCCGAGTTGACTGGGCGGGTGGAGAGGTAACTGGTGCTGAAGTCGGAGGCTGACTCCTCTGCTGAGATAAACTTCCATGACGACGAGAACAATGCCTCCATATATGCCCAACCTCCCCACACTAAAAAAACTCCCTGGTGCTGGTGGCGGAAACTGAAGGGAACCCCTAGCACCGGGATGACTGGAAGAAGAACCTGGTATGGAAGAGCCCTGAATAGGTGGAGCACGGGACGAACTCTGAGCTGGGAGGGCACTAAGTGATGAGTGGCCCTGATGAGAACTGTGAGAACCATGGCCAGATGTTGCACCCCGATAAAATGGCTGAGCTGACTGAGCCTGTCTAAAATGACCACCTCTACCATGCTGGAACTGACCCCCAAAAGGAGCACCGCTGAATCCACCCTGACCATGAGGCCTTTTGGCCTCCCTCTCAACCCTCTCCTAACCACGAACCATCTCAATCTGTCAAGCAATGTCGACAACCTCATCAAAAGTAGTACCTGAAACCCTCTCTCTGGTCATGAGCAACTGTAGCTGATAAGTGAGACAATCAATAAACCTCATGATCCTCTCCCTGTCCGTGGGAACCAACCAGATCGCATGATGGGCCAACTCGGAGAACCGCATAATGGGCCAACTCGCGAAGCTACTCAAACTATCTACACAGCTCCTCTCTATAGGATCGAGGCATGAACTTCTCCAAAAAGACCACGGAGAATTGCTGCTAAGTAAGGGGTGCTGCGCCAGCAGGCCTACGCCTCTTGTAAGTCTCCCATCATCTGAGTGCAGCCCCAAAGAACTGAAAGGTAGTGAATGAGACCCCACAAGTCTCCAGAATACCAGCAGTACGGAGTATCCTCTATCACCTGTCCAAAAAGTCCTGAGCATCCTCTCTCTCTGTGCCACTGAAAGGTGGTGGCTGGAGTCTGAGCTAGGGCCTCCTGAAGGCCTGGAATCACAATAGGCATAGGTGGTGCATCAATAACTGGAACCTGGTCCTGATCTGGGAAAACCGGTGGATTTGCAGATACTGCCCCAGCTGTTGTACGAGCTTCACCTCTGCCCCTACCACAGCCTCTACCGCGGTCTCGGCCTCTCGTGGCCCTGGCTGGTGGTACTGGTGGCTGGCCCTCCTGACCGGTAGCACGAGTCCTCACCATCTGTGAGAGAATGAAATAACAGATATTTAGTTACTAGAATCAACAGATTCGCACGATAAGAATTCAAGAATGTGGAGTTTCCTAAAGGTTCTGCAGCCTCTCGAAGATAAATACACACGTCTCCGTACCGATCCGCAAGACTCTACTAAACCCGCTCATGACTCGTGAGACCTATGTAACCTAGGCTCTGATACCAATCTATCACGACCTAAAAACCTAACCTGTCGTGATGGCACCTATCGTGGAACTAGGCAAGCCCACTCATTTCCAAACAAACCGATATTTTTATTTCAAAGATAATTTCAATGTTATTTAACATAAAAACCTTCGCAAAGAAGTTCAAATCAAAATAAAAGTGCGGAAGGAAAAGCCCAACATCGGGGTGCCACTAGTCATGAGAATCTACTACAATCTATCTAACAATATCAATGCTAACTCAGCCTAGAAAATAGCTAAATACAACTAAAAGAAGATAAGAGGGAGAAGAGCAGGGGCTACGGTCACCAAGCAACTACTTGGTATCCCCGAGAAACAGAAATCTTCAACCAGAATAATCAACAACCGCTACCGTGTCCAGCTACACCTAGATCTTCACACAAGGTGGAGGGAGTAACGTGAGTACGCCAACTCAGTAAGTAACAACAATAAATAAAGACTGAGCAGTAGTGACGAGCAATAAAGCATATCAAGTTCATATCACAAAAATTCAGTAAAATACAACATGCATTAAAAATCAGTGTTTGAATCAAATCCTCTCGTTGAAACCCGGTTCCAGTAAAAAAACAAATCATTTAAAGATATTTTTCAACAGTTTTTCAAACAAGGCTCAATGCAAAGGTGAGCAAAAATGATGAAATCATTAACAGCCTCTCGGGCAAAACCTCACAGTCACTCGTGCCACACGGGCATACCTCACAATCACTCTTGCCACTCGGGCATACCTCACAATCACTCATGCTTCCCAATCACTCAACACTCGGCACTCGCACTCACTAGGTTCCTGCGCTCACTGGGGGTGTGTACAGTCTCCAGAGGGGCTCCTTCAGCCCAAGCGCTATATCAAGCCAAATCATGGCATAAATCACTCAGGCCCTCGGCCTATATCAAACATGCTGCGGCGTGCAGCCCGATCCCATAAATATCCTCACAAGTCAGGCCCTCGGCCTCACTCAGTCATAAACCTCTCAAGCCACTCGGGATATCAATAAAAACAGGGCATTCGGCCCAAAACAACATCTATGTGCATCAAAATAGAGTCATTAAACTGAGTTATGCAGTAAACAAGTATAACTATGATTAAGTATAGATTTTCAATAGAAAACAATGAGAGGATAGTAAGAAAAGGCCCCTAAGGGTCCAAACAACACTGGCACAAGGCCCAAACATGGCATTCAGCCCAATTTACAGAAACTCTTTCTAAAACATATAAGCATCATATAGTTTCAACAAAATATGCAACTTTATAGTTGCTACGGGACAGACCAAGTCACAAATACCCAATGGTGCACGCCCACACGCCCGTCACCTAGCATGTGTGTCACCTCAAAATAGTAGAATGATACGAAATCCGGGGTTTCATATCCTCAGAACTAGATTTTCAATCATTACTTACATTAAACAGGTCAAATCTCTACCCCGCAATTCTCTTGCCTCTGGACTCGGCCTCCAAATGCTCCAAATCTATTCACAATCAGTACAATACCATCCATATATGCTAATGGAATGAATTCCACAAGAAAAGCTATAAAATTAGACCGAAACCCGAAATTGACTCAAACCCGGCCCCCGGGCCCACGTCTCAAAATCTGACAAAATTCACAAACTAGGGAGCTCATTTACTCACGAGTCTAACCATACCAAATTCATCAAAATCCGACATCGTTTGGTCCTTCAAATTCTTAAATTACTCTCCAAATATTCCAAGCCCTAACCCCTCATTTTCACTAATTACATGATTAAACAACGGGAAATCACCATATATACGAGTATTAGGGCTCAAGCAACTTACCTAATTGATAGCCCTCGAATCACCCTTCAAATATCACTCCAAAAGCTCCAAAATCCGACTTGAAAATGGTGGAAATTAACCAAATTCGCCAAGGGTTCTATTTATGGTTTCTGCCTAGTTTTTTCGCACCTGCGGGACCGCACATGCGGTCAAGGTGCCGCATCCGCAAACTCCACTTAATTCCCCAGCTTTCGCACCTGCACTCTAGGACTCGCACATGCGGGCTCGCAGGTGCGGCCAAATCCTTCGCGCCTACGCTCCAGCCTTGGCCTAACATTTTTCCGCATCTGCGCAGCAAATTCTCGCGCCTGCGAAAGAGCACCTGCGAGCGCATACTCCGCTTCTGCGAAAACTGACCAACTCCCTTTCCATCGCATCTGCGCACCTTCCTTCCACGCCTACGAGCTCGCACATGCGACTCCCCCTTCCGTAGGTGCAGAAATAGCAGAAGCAGCAGCTTCAGTTGCATTTTCCAATTTTGACAAATCCGTTAATCACCCGGAATCACCCCGAGGCCCTCGGAACCTCAACCAAAAAGACCAACAAGTCATATATCAATATACCAACTTAGTCGAACCTTCGAATCACTCAAAACAATATCAAATCATCAAATTACCTTCGGATTCAAGCCTAAGAACTTCTAAATTTCTAAATTCGGCAGCCGATGCCGAAACCAATCAAACCACGTCCGAATGACCTCAAATTTTGCACACACGTCAAAAATGACACTACGAACCTGCCCCAACTTCTGGAATTCCATTCCGACCCCAATATCAAATTTTCCACTACCGACCGAAATCGCCAAGTTTCCAATTTTGTCAATTCAAGCCTAATTTTACCACGGACCTCCAAATCCCATTCCAGACACACTCCAAAGTCCAAAATCACCTAACGGAGCTAACGGAACCATCATAATTCAAGTCCGAGAATGTTTACATATAGAACAATATCCGGTTGACTTTTCCAACTTAAGTTTCTACTTAAGAGACTAAGTGTTTCAATTCACTCTGAAACCACTCCGGTCCCGAACCGACTAACCCAATATAATATAATATAGCTGAATAACACAAAAAAAAGTAAAAATAGTGAAAATGGGGCTATAACTCTCGAAACGACCGGCCAGGTCGTTACACTTTATTACGTTAATTGATTCCAAGTGGTGACTTTAAGAATTTGTTTAGTTCCTGATATTTCAAGAACACGTTTATTGATCTAAATTCGTTCTTTTGATATCATAGAATTATAACTTTCATTGAACTGGTGCAGCATTAATATTTACTTGTTTTGAACGAGTAAATAGTCTTTCTTATAGTTCAAATCGTTATCTTTCACTTCATTTTTGAATCATCAGATTCTATGTCCTAAAACTTGAGATACGTTGTTTCTTAAAATCGACCCACAAAGCACGTTCTCCTTTCAAGATCTTGATCCTGGTCGGTTGGTTCTTTGTTAACTCGAAGAATCACATCAATTTGGTATCATGGCAGCAGATGGTGAACCTAATATGTAAGCAAGAAAATGTCGTTGGGTTCAAGAAGGTGAAGGAAGAGCAGCCGATCATGACATGGAGATGAAAGAGATGAGAAGTACAATAGAATAACTACAGAGGCAACTCCAACACTACGAAAGGCAAGAACAATGTAGAAGGCACAAGGAAGACGATGAAGGGGACTCTGATATTAACCCCTTTCATATGGCTGATGGAGATGACTCTAGTGAAAGTTCGGATCCTCCTAGGAGACAACGAGACGATGACTCTGATCGCCCAATGAGAAAGAGGAACCATACTGGGGAGAAAAGGGATGATGTGAAGGTTGATGTTCTTGATTTTGATGGAAAAGCACAAAGTGATGCATTTATGGAGTGGTTATTGACCGTAGAAAGAATCTTTGAGTTCAAGGATATTTTGAGGAGAAAAAGGTTAAGATTGCTGCCATCAAGTTTAAGGGATATGCTCCACTTTGGTGGGACAATTTGAAGCGAGAAAGAGAAGGTTGTGGTAATATTCAAACTTGGGAGAAGATGAAGAGAGAACTTCAAAGACGTTTTCTTCCTAATACATACAAACAAGAGAATTATCTTAAATTTCAAAAACTTTCGTCAAGGAGACCAGACCGTGGAAGACTATACTCGAGAGTTTGAATACTTCATGATTAAGTGTGATACCCGAGAACCTAAGGAACAGACTACAACAAGATATATTGGTGGCTTAAGGAGTTTCATCTCCGATGTTATTCACCTACAACCTTATTGGACATTCAATGATGTACGAAAGCTTGCCATCAACATCGAACAACAACAAAATGAGCCAAAGAAATTATACTCCAAGAAGAATTACTCCAACTAGGGGAGTACTTGTGGTAGTGGTATAAATTCCAAGGCAATCTATCGAAGTAATTCTTCTAAATTCATCTTCAAAGGGTGATGAAAAGAAACCTCAAGGGGATATGACTAGGAGAAAATGTTTTAAGTGACAAGGTTTTGGGGCATGTGCAAGCTGATTGTCGCAACCGAAAGGCTGTTATGTTGGTTGACAAATAATATGATTCCAATCATGAAGATAACCGGCCAATTCAGGAAGTTAATGAGGAAGATGAGGATGCCTATGTAGAACCTAATGAAGGTGATATGCTTGTTATTCAGAGGATCTTAAATGCTGAACATGAAGATGAAGAATCATCGCAACGAGAGGCCCTTTTCCACACGAGGTGTACATCACATGGCAAGATATGCTCAGTGATTATCGATGGTGCAAGTTGCACTAATGCTGTTTCAGAAGAGATGATGACTAAATTGAGTTTGGAGACTGAGGTACACCCCAAACCTTACAAAGTCGGGTGGTTGCAATATGGTGGAGGTATGAAAATCACTAAAAGATGCTTAGTCTCTTTTTCTATTGGTAAGATCTATAAAGACAAAATTTGGTGTGATGTGGTAAAGATGGATGCTTGCCATTTATTACTTGGGAGACCATGTCAATATGATAAGCGTGCTTTTCATGATGGATACCGTAACACCTATTCATTCATAATTGATGGACATAAGATCATTTTGACGACATTGCACCCAAAAGAACTTTCAAAGAGGGAAAAGACCGTGTCTGATACGCTAATGAACAGATCACAGATTATTGGCCACATCAATGAAGGAGAGACATTGTACATAGCAGTATCCATGGAAGACTCACAAGATGAGGATCATGAGTTAGATACATGAGCCAAGAAGTTACTTGCTAAGTTTGATGATGTGATCGCTGAAGATGTTCCGTTAGAACTTCCAACCATGGGTGATATTCAACATCAAATTGACCTTATACCCGGAGCATAGTTGCCAAACAAAGCAGCTTATATGATGAATCCTACACAACAAGCTGAACTCCAAAGGCAAGTCGAAAAGCTATTGGAGAGGGGTTTAATAAGGGAGAGCCTTAGTCCATGTGCCATAATTGGTTTGCTTATTCCTAAGAAAAATGGAACTTGGATGATGTGTGTTGATAGTCGATCAATAAACAAGATCACTATCAAATATCGCTTACCATTCCCACGGTAAGATGATCTATTTGACCAATTACATGGTTCTAAGATCTTTTCAAATATTGATTTGAAGAGTGGGTACTACCAGATTCGTATGAGAGAAGGTGATGAGTGGAGGACTGCCTTCAAGACTAGCCAAGGCTTGTATGAATGGTTGGTAATTCCTTTTGGTTTGTCGAATACTCCTAGCACATTCACGAGGCTTATGACTCATGTGTTTAGACCATTCATTGGGAAGTTTGTTGTTGTCTGCTTTGACGATATCCTAATTTATAATAAAGAGGAAGTTGAACATGGAAAGCATTTGGAGAAGGTTTTTGAAACCTTAAGGAGAGAGAAGCTATATGCACAACTCAAGAAGTGCATCTTTTATACTAACAATGTTCCCTTTCTTGGTTACATAGTAACTAGTGCTGGTATTCAAGCTGACCCAAGCAAGATTGAGGCAATCATATATTGGCCAATTCCTATGTCAATTTCGGATATAAGGAGCTTTCATGGAATGATGTCCTTCTATCGATGATTTATAAAAAATTTTAGCACTTTGGTTGCTCATATAACCGAGTATTTGAAAGGAGGCATGTTCTGTCATGCCTCGAACTCGGGGAGCATGACCGGCGCTCAACCGAGTGAACCCGGTCAAGCAAGCCTGTTAGATACTTTCTACCCAACTCACTTATGAATAAATATAATACATATTTTCGTTAATTAGACAATAAAGAGATCATGTATACAATACCAATTCACCATTAGTTACTTCAGTTTAAAGTCTCAAATTTCACACACATTTTCATGGTCTTAAGCGGAACAAGTAATTCAACTACAACATAACTTGTTTGACTTCTCCAGCACTAATATATGACCCACACTATGTCTACAGAGCCTATAATAGATTCAAAAGAGTACTATGATAGTGCCGGCAATAAGTCCTCTGCTATACCTCAAACACAATACACAAAGAACAAAAGATACATGACCCCGAAATGAAGTGGGACTCACCAAGTCAGCTGGGAAGAGGATGTACCGCTATCACAAATCAATGTCTCGTGCTGTGGAACCACTTGCATCCATTGAAGATGCTGTGCCCCCGGAAAAAAGGACGTTAGTACATATGGAATAGTACTAGTATGAATGACAAAACACCCTCTCAATAGAATGATAAATAATATAAGCAAGAACAATCATAATATCAGTGGAAGCAACAAACAACATCAAACCTCAAATTAGGATCAAGACTGTGTTCAAATAAATTTTAATATTTTAAGTTGGGAGATCTTTAGTATCAATATGCCACCGTTCACCATACCAATACCACCGTACTTTTAGTACGGAGTCCGATCACGACCCGATCGGCTAGGCCGTCTCATCCGAGACATTAACCACCCGGAATCACCCCGAGGCCCTCGGAACCTCAACCAAAAATACCAACAAGCCATATATCAACATACCAATTTAGTCAAACCTTCGAATAGCTCAACACAACATCAAATCATCAAATTACCTTCGGATTAAAGCCTAAGAATTTCTAAATTTCCAAATTCGGCAACCGATACCGAAACTAACCAAACCACGTCTGAATGACCTCAAATTTTGCACACATGTTACAAATGACACTACGAACCTACCCCAACTTGTGGAATTCCATTCCAACCCCGATATCAAATTTTCCACTGCCGACCGAAATCGCCAAGTTTCCAATTTTGCCAATTCAAGCCTAATTCTACCACGGACCTCCAAATCACATTCCGGACGCACTCCTAAGTCTAAAATCACCTAACAGAGCTAACAGAACCATCAGAATTCAAATCCGAGATCGTTTACACATAGGTCAACATCCGATTGACTTTTTTAACTTAAGTTTCTACTTAAGAGACTAAGTGTCTCAATTCACTCTGAAACCACTCTGGTCCCTAACCAACTAACCCGATATAACATAATATAGCTGAATAACACAAAAAGAAGTAGAAATGGGGAAAACAAGGCTATAACTCTGGAAACGATCGGCCGGATCGTTACATCCTCCCCCTCTTAAACATCCGTTCGTCCTAGAACGGGTCTAGAAACATACCAGGAGTCTCGAATAGGTGTGGATATCTGCTCCGCATCTCCCGCTCAGTCTCCCAGGTGTCCTCCTCCATAGGCTAACCTCTCTATTGCACCTTCACTGAATCTATATCCTTTGACCTCAACCTTCGAACCTGCCGATCCAAAATAGCCACCGGCTCCACATCATAAGTCATATCACCCTCCAACTGAACCGTGCTGAAATCCAAAACATGGGACGAATCTCCAATATACTTTCGGAGCATGGAAACATGAAACACTGGGTGCACACTCGACAAGCTGGGTGGCAAGGCAAGCTTATAAGCCACCTCTCCTATTCTCTGAAGCACCTCAAAAGGCCCAATAAACCGGGGGCTCAACTTGCCCCTCTTCCCAAACCTCATAACACCCTTCATGCGTGATACCTTCAGCAAAACCTTCTCCCAAACCATAAAAGAAACATCACAGACCTTCCTATCCGCATAGCTCTTCTTCCAAGACTACGCCGTGCGAAGCCGCTTCTGAATCAATTTCACCTTATCTAATGCATCCTGGACCAAGTCTGTACCCAAGAGCCTAGCCAAACCCGGCTCGAACTATCCAATCGGAGATCTACACCTCCTCCCATTTGAAATCCTTGTACAGAACAATCTGAATACTCAACTGATAACTGTTGTTATATGCAAATTCCGCGAGTGGCAGAAATTGATCCCATGAAACCTTAAAGTCAATGACACAAGCACGTAACATGTCCTCCATTATCTGAATAGTGCGCTCGGACTACCCGTCCATCTGAGGGTGAAAAGCTATGCTCAACTGAACCTGAGTACCCAACTCTCGCTGCACGGCCCTCCAAAACTGCGATGTGAACTGAGTACCCCTATCTGAAATGATGGAAACTGGGACACCATGCAGGCGAACGATCTCTCGGATGTAAATCTCAGCCAACGACTCTGAAGAGTAAGTAGTACCAACTTGAATGAAGTGTGTGGACTTAGTCAGCCGATCCACAATAACCCAAATAGCATCAAACTTCCTCGAAGTCCATGGGAGCCCAATATAAAGTCCATGGTGATGTGCTCCCACTTCCACTATGGGATCTCTAATCTCTGAAGCAAGCCACCCAGTCTCTGATGCTCATACTTAACCTGATGACAATTGAGACACAGAATCACAAACCCAACTATATCCTTCTTTATTCGCCTCCACCAATAGTGCTGCCTCAAATCCTAGTACATCTTCGCGGCACCCGGATGGATGGAATACCGCGAGCTATGGGCTTCCTCAAGAATCAACTCTCGAAGCCCATCTACATTAGGCACACATATCCGGCCCTGCATTCTCAGCACGCCGTCATCACCAATGGTCACAACCCGAGCATCACCTCTCCGAACCCTGTCCTGAAGAACGAGCAGGTGGGGGTCATCATACTGACGCTCCTTGATACGGTAATAAAGAGAAGACCTGGAGACCACACAAGCCAATACCTGACTAGGCTCCGAAATATCTAATCTGACAAGCTGGCCCGCTAAGGCCTGTACATCCAATGCCAAAGGTCTCTCTGCTACTGGAAGATATGCTAAACTCCCCAAACTCTCTGTCTGGCGACTCAAAGCATTGGCCACCACATTGGCCTTCCCCGGATGGTACCTGATAGTGATATCATAGTCCTTAAGAAGCTCCAACCATCTCCGCAGACGCAAATTAAGATCCTTCTGCTTGAACAGATGCTGCAGACTCTGGTGATCACCCCCTGATATGCCTCCCCCTCTAGGACGACCCCTAGCTGACTGACCTCCACCCCGAGCTGACTGGGCGGGTGGAGAGGTAACTGGTGCTGAAGTCGGAGGCTGACTCCTCTGCTGAGATAAACCTAGCTCCCCACACTCAAAACAACTCCCTGGTGCTGGTGGCGGAAACTGAAAGGAACCCCTAGCACCGGGATGACTGGTAGAAGAACCTGGTATGGAAGAGCCTTGAATAGGTGGAGCACCGGATGAACTCTAAGCTGGGAGGGCACTAAGTGATGAGTGGCCCTGATGAGAACTGTGAGAACCATGGCCAGATGATGCACCCCAATAAAATGGCCGAGCTGACTGAGCCTGTCTGAAATGACGACCTCTACCGTGCTGGAACTGACCCCCAAAAGGAGCACCGCTGAATCCACCCTGACCACGAGGCCTTTTGAACTCCCTCTCAACCCTCTCCTAACCACAAACCATCTTAATCTGTCAAGTAATGTCGACAACCTCATCAAAAGTAGCACCCAAAACCCTCTCTCTGGTCATGAGCAACTGTAGCTGATAAGTGAGACAATAAATAAACCTCATGATCCTCTCCCTGTATGTGGGAACCAACCAGATCGCATGACGGGCCAACTCGGAGAACCGCATGATGGGCTAACTCGCGAAGCCTCTCAAACTGTCTGCGCAGCTCCTCTCTGCAGGATCGAGGCACGAACTTCTCCAAAATGACCACGGAGAATTGCTGCCAAGTAAGGGGTGCTGCGCCAGCAGGCCTACANAGCTGGTGCATCAACAACTGGAACCTGGTCCTGATCTGGGACAACCGGTAGATCTGCAGGTACTACCCCAGCTGTTGTACGAGCTTCACCTCTGCCCCTACCACAGCCTCTACCACTGTCTCGGCCTCTCGTGGCCCTGGCTAGTGGTACTGGTGGCTGGCACTCCTGACCGGGAGCACGAGTCCTCACCATCTGTGAGAGAATGAAACAACAGATGTTTAGTTACTAGAATCAACAGATTCACACGACAAGAATTCAAGAATGTGGAGTTTCCTAAAGGTTCTGCAGCCTCTCGAATATAAATACAAACGTCTCCGTACCAATCCTCAAGACTCTACTAAACCCGCTCATGACTTGTGATACCTATGTAACCTAGGCTCTGATACCAATCTGTCACAACCCAAAAACTTAACCTGTCTTGATGGCGCCTATCGTGGAACTAGGCAAGCCGACTCATTTTCAAACAAACCGATATTTTTATTTCAAAGATAATTTCAATGTTATTTATCATAAAAGCCTTCGTAAAGAAGTTCAAATCAAAATAAAAGTGCGGAAGGAAAAGTCCAACATCCAGGTGTCACTAGTCATGAGCATCTACTATAATCTGTCTAACAATATCAAGGCTAACTCAGCCTAGAAATAGGCAAATACAACTAAAAGAAGATAAGAGGGAGAAGAGTAGGGGCTACGGTCGCCAAGCAACTACCTTGCTATCCCCGAGAAACAGAAATCTTCAACCAGAATAATCAACAACCGCTACTGTGTCCAGCTACACCTGGATCTGCACACAAGGTGCAGGGAGTAACATGAGTACGCCAACTCAGTAAGTAACAACAATAAATAAAGACTGAGCAGTAGTGACGAGCAATAAAGCATATCAAGTTCATATCACAAAAATTCAGTAAAATACAGCATGCGTTAAAAATCAGTGTTTGAATCAAATTCTCTCGTTTAAA